ACACACACACACACACACACACACACACACACACACACACACACACACACACACACACACACACACACACACACACACACACACACACCCCCACACACACACACACGCCCACGCCCACGCACGCACGCACGCACGCACGCACGCACGCACGCACGCACGCACGCACGCACGCACGCACGCACGCACGCACGCACGCACGCACGCTCGCACGCACGCACGCACACACACACACACACACACACACACACACACACACACACACACACACACACACACACACACACACACACACACACACACACACACACACACACACACACACACACACACACACACACACACACACACACACACACACACACACACACACGTGCGCGCACGCGCGCATGTGCAATTGCATACACACCACCTGCCACCAAAATGTGTTTGATATGTGGCAAGCTCTCCTGGGGGCAAATTGCAGGCTCGTCCATGATGAAGGGTCCGTTATTGGATGCTCCTTGATTCAGACTATCAACCTGGCCCATACCCCAGAAGATGGTTTGGATGGTCAAAATCATGGAACTCGGCTGAGGGTTCCTGGATGACAACTTTCCTCCAAAAAGAGCCCTCTGGTGGGTCCTATGTTAGGAGGGTTGTGCTGTTTCAGAGGACCCACAAGTGGGGCCTGCCCCAAACCGTGCAGGCGGTGGCTGAGACAGAGCCAGAGAAGCTTCGGAAGCGGTGCACGCCACCCGTGGGGAAGCACAACATCTTTGGGGTGGGCGAGGCCAACGAGGAGGCCGTGCAGGTGAGGTCGGCCAAGTTACACCTTTTCAGCTGGGGATGACTGCTATTGGGTTGGATCTTTAGACTTTAACTTTTTGGGAAATCAAGGGGTTTTCCACTAAACCCCCAAAAAAGTTAAACTTTTTGCAGGGGGGTCAACAGAAACCAAGTGGGGATGAGCCCATGCATGTCTTCGGCACAGATAGCAAGCCCATTCGGGGGTGAAGCGAGCTTACCCATGAAGGGCTTCACTAGGGATGCCTTATTTCCGGTTTGTTTGCTTTATTCCCGGGCTTTGACCAAAAAATCCGGCTGAACGTTTGCTCTGGAATCGCTGGTTGCAGCCCAAGCACGGCTTCCAGCCGATGAACGTAACAGCGGAAACCAGGCACCCTTCATTTTATGCGGGGTTTCGCGGCGGGCTCAATTGCACAATCTCCAGGCTGCATGTCGAACAGTGCTCACATTCCCTTCACCTGGCATGATGTCGGCGAGGGCGGGTTCTGCTTGTCGTTGCTCCCCCCATTGGCAATTGCTTCAATGGTCCTTCAATTGAACACTTTAGCCAACCCTTCAGGGTTCTTGACGGAGCTGGGCTTTGCACGGCGTGTCCGTTTGCGCGCGGGGTTCGTAGGACATTTTTGACGACCGGGACTTCTATGTCCAGCTGCTGAAGGCCGGGCCTCCTCACCCACAACGGCAATTAGGGGCTCAGATTGAGTGATAGATTCTAGCCTGCCAGCTAGAAAGTGGCTTTTTGGGGCTAATTACTTTCTGCCTGAGAGGGAAGCCCTTCAAACTTTAAGGACTAGGGGAACAAGCTAGAACTTGGAACCCTGTATTTGACTGCAATGTAAGAGGGCTCCCTTGTCACTTGCGGTGGGTTTACTTGCATAGTGGCATAGTTGAGGCCACTGACTATAACATTTCAACTTCCCTACCCGATTGAACCTCCCAGTCGCTTTCCTCAGGAGGTGCTGTCGGGCACGGGCATCAGCCAGAAGGATGAGGAGCGGCGACATTTTCGAGGGGCCCCCTTCGAACTTCCGGTTTTGCACAGAACATCAGAATGATTGGGACTAGAAGTGAACGCCAGATCATTCCAGCCCGACTGCAAGCCAGCGATCGGGCTATGAACGAACACTAGCACAGATTGATATGGGCCCAACATGACCTCGGATGAAACAACACAAAAACTGGGCTGACATTCACATTCGGGGTGCTCCCCGAAACATGGAGATTGCCCCCATGGAAACCCCCTTCACCCGCGCCCCCCCAAAAGGCACCAGTCCAAAAAGGATTCCCCGGGCGCATTTTACAGGAAAAGCGTCCTTTCACTCCATGTTCGTGGGGAGGGTGACAAAGCTCAACCCCGAGTTCATCCACCTGGTCGTCCAATCCGCGGGTCTCCCCGAGGAGAAGCAGCTCTTGGCGGAGATCGCGGGGCGGAGGAGCCAGAAGCGAAAGGCCCAGAAGGAGGTGGAGCGCCGGGCCTCCAAGGGTCGGAAGATCCGCTACAGGCGGGGCTGGGCTTCCCAAGGAAGACGGGGAGCCGATGGAATCCGATTTCCTTTTTGTTAAGCCTGGAGCGGGTTTTCTCGCGTTCGTGGTCTTTCTCGGGGTCGGCTTCCCAACATCAAATCAATCAGCACCAAAGATAGGTCACCTTTTTTTTGTCTCTGGGCGGGGGAGGCAAAACGGTGGCTCCCACCCTGTTGGTCTCCCAGTAAAGCCAACCAAGCAGGAGTCACTCACAAAAGCAAACAACACGAAACATGTTTCGCAGTCAGTATGTATAAGATATATCTTTGCGTTTTTCCCCCCCCCTTTCCCCCCGCTTGAGACATTTCAGGGTGATGAAGCAGGAATATGTTTTCTATGAAGCCACCCGTCCTGGACTTTCTGAGCCCATTCCACCAGCATCCCCTACCCGCTAGGCACTGAGGGATTGTGCAATGGGACCAAAGGACATTGGGTGGTTTCCAGGGTTCCCAGTTAGAAGCCTTCCCATGGCGCTCATCTGGTAATTGCCACATGGAGCCCATCCTGACCAGAAAGGCGTGTGGTGTGTCTTGTTTGCATGCCGTTGAAGCCTTGAACCCGTTGAACACCCCGCACCCCTTGAATATCTTAAGCGGCCCCCCTTGAATATCTGAAGCGGCTGGCAGGCCTATTGAAAAGCTCCAGAACTTCATGTCCGGCCGGCCTCGCGGCAGTCTATCTACTGACATGGACGAGTCGGAGCCGCTGAGCGAGAGCGCGTGTCAAGCCTTGCTGAGCTCCCTCTTCGCCCCACCAAGGGCCTAGGGCCTAGGGCGCCATTTGCTTGGATTGTTGAGAGTCCATCTTCAATCGTTATGCCAGATGTAGGTGAATTCCCTTGTTGTATTGGGGCCACAGTGGGGGTTACTTGCGGATCACGGATTCGGGATCCCCTCATCATTTTGCTTGACCCAGTTTACGAGTGACGAGCGCGGCGTGTGGATCTGAAAAAGTCTTGCGGCAGGCTGGGGCAATGGGTTGTTTGGTTCGAGCAGCACAAGGCATGTGGGAGTCTTCTTTGTTGGCGAAGTCAGCTCCCTTTTTGGTTAGTTTTGCAGACAAGCCCAAAGGACACCAATCATTGCGGCGGGTTCCCAAGTCTTGAGACAAACCCAGGTGGTAATCATTTCCTTGCGTTTCAGGGTCGTGCTTCGCGCTGTGCGGTTCGACGCAGGGCCAGGCCGAACGGTGTCCCATTCGTCACGGGCCCCAGAGGGTCTTGGGTTGGCAAGATTCTGGAAATCGGATCACTCACTGTCTTCAAGAGGCTCTTCGCATCCTTGCAGATTGCCTTCAATGCACAGCCTGCTGGCAAACCTTGGTGTTTGCCATGGGCCCAGCGGGTTCTGCCAGAGCTTGCCAGTCCTAGGCTGATGGTGATGTGATGGCCAGCTGGCCAGCCAAAGAATTGCCAATTGCCTGTGCATGGCGCCTTTCCTCGAGAGCGACGGACATACGGAAAGTAGAGTTTGCTTTTCCATTGGAGGCATCAGGTGGAAACTTGTGGATAACAACGTAATGCAGGTTGATAGGGGCATTTTGCCGTCTTGCTCGGGGTTCCTTCGTCACAAACTGCCTGGGCTCCTTAAAGGACCCGTGGCCTTCAAAACTTGCCTCAGGCTCTGAGACTCGCATGCTTGAAGCCATATTTGCCGCCGAACATGCCAATGTAGCTGTGTAAGCGCGAGGCTCGAGGATTGAATGGGCCAATTTCACAACTTTGGGCGCCGCTCAGCATGGCTTCTGGCGCGGAGCGCAGCAGCTTGAGCGATCCCTGGCCCCGACACCTGTCCAAAGCGCGGCTGTCACTGCGATGAACGCCCGGCCGAAGTGACGTGTCCTCCCGGAGGAAGCAGCGGGCTCGAACTGTGGAAAAATAACACGAGCACGCGCCAAGGACCGAAATCACTTCTGACAGGGGAGGCGAAGGGGCCGGGTGAGAAGCTTCCTTGTCCAGCAACGTGTGTGTATCGTCATGTTGGCAAGCCACGTGCTTGCCCTGGCATGTTGTATGGAATTCAGCTAGTTCGCTTTGACTGCCAAGATTAAGACCTTGGAAAGAGGGAGCTTACCAGAACGGAAGGGGTGGCCTTGCAGTGCATCCTCGTTCGTGCAACGGACCCGACAAACCGAAAGGAGGCCAACCAGTTTTGGGGTCGCCCCAATTCAGACCTCTGAGTGATCGGCCCCGGATGATCTACCTCGGTCCTGTGTGCCAGGAAGGCAAAGACCGGCAACTGCCGGAGTTTTCGCTAGGGATCTTTGCTTGGAGCTTAGCTGATGGCACCTGTCGAACGCATGGTTTCACAAGGTTTCATACTATTTCAAGACCGCTGAGCTGATGTTTGAGGCAAGCCATGTCCTATTTGGCTTGGTTGTCAGGAATAAACTCCGCAATCCTTGTGCGGTCGTGGTTTCTTTGATTGGGCATTCCCCAGTTCGAGCAACCTTGAAGGAAGCCCGGGATGTTTTTGCATCTGAAGCTTCCAAGGAGAAGAAGACCTTCCAAACTGCCGCGGAGTGGCAGCAACCTCAATGGGCGCGTGTGCGCCGCGTGGCAGTCACCGCCAAGCTCCACATCGGCCATTTCCCTCCTTTAGTTAATGGGAGTTGCTTATCGAGCCTATGACCCTGCGAGGACGCAGAGAATCAAGAGGGGGGCATGCGCACGAGGTGGAGTTTGTTGCATTCTGTGCAGCGCTGGGCAGTAAGGTTTCACGAGAAGGACAAGAAGCAGCTGCTCGAACCTCAGCTTTGCTTTGCATGGCCAGGACGCCGAAGCCAATACCCCAAGACAAACAATGGAAGTATGCAGGAACCACGGAACCACTTCCAAGGAGCCATTTTTGCAGTGGAAGGATGCAAGAGAAGCTCGTGCGCGTGCGATTTGTCATTTCGCTCAGCTCAAGCGCTCAAAGAAATCCGTCGATGTTGCCAGCATGGAGCAAGGGTGCTGTCCCAGAGGCACGACGATGCAGGTCGCATCTGTGGGACCGCAGGTCCGAAAAGCAAAACCAAAAGGGGTTCCCAGTTAAGGGGCAAAGCAGTGCAAGCAGAGGCAAGGCTCGCAGGCCTTTTGCTGTGTCGCGCATCGATGGCTTCGGTTGCCGAGTCATTCATGCTATGTGCAAGCGAATGGCACTCTACCTCAGGCTTTCCCCTTCCTCAACACATCGGGAAAAGAGGGTGCTGAGGTGAGATGCTTCATTCGCTCTTTCCGCCTCTCACGCTGACCTCTGCGAAGATCAGCGCGTGCTTGCTCTCGCTTTGCATCCTCCGGAGTCTCCTTCAGGCTGATCGTCCCCCTCTTGCGGAACTCCGTGAAGAGTTCATCTGCCATAGCTTTCGTCAAGCCATCCGCCAGCTGGCGGAATGTAGGGACCCAGAAGATCTGGCAAAGCTGCTGCTGGATCAACTCCTTGGCACTCAGGATGTCCAGCATCGTCTGTCGCTCAGCCGTCATATGACCGGTCTTCGTGACGTGATCATACAACGCCTTGGCATCCGTCACCACCGCCCCCGGACAGGACAAGGACTCCTTCCAGTCCTTGCCTACAGGCCGGGGCCCTTTGGCCATCATCTCCATGAGCAACCGCAGATAGAGCTGCTCATCCATCGCTGTGCTCATAGAGTGACCCTCTGCTGCCAGGCTTGACCTCACCACCCGGGCGATCTTGCCGCTGCGATAGCCCAGGATGTTGGCCACTCCTTCACGGTGAAGCACCTCCTTTGACGCCACCAAATGCACCTGGCCCTGCTGAGCCCTCATCACCTCACTCTTGCCCAAGGAGGCGTCGAAGAAGGAAAGCATCATCGGCTCTCCACCGATCGGGCGGTACCGCAACTCCGCCTGACCTGTGGTAGCCAGCTTCCTAATCTCCTGCAACAACTTGTTGGCCTGTCCCACGTGGCCCCAGTTCGCCGCGGAGACCTTTTGAGCCAACTGGCTCACCTCGAAGAGCTTCTCGGGCAAACAATGCTGACACGGCCACCTCATCTGCATCACCACACTGCGGTAGGCCTTGAGCTCCACCTTGCCTAAAAGCTCAGTAGGCTCCGCCTTGATCATCTTCATGGGCTTGATCTTCAAGATGTACTCCTTCATGGAGTCCACAATCGTGCCACTGTGGTAAGTGACCTGGCTGCCCAGGTACTGCACCGGATCGGGGCCTAAGACCTTCCACTCCTTTATGTTGAACTTCTGGTTCACCTTGGCCAGGACCTCCTTAAACACCGGGCAGCCTTCCTGACCGGCCAGTAGACCATCATCCACGTGCAGTGTGCGCAGGGCCTTGGTGGTGCCCCGTGCTGCCTTCACAAAGGTCGCCCTGCAAATCTCCAGCTCCTCCATGCCACACTCCACCATGTACTGCGCTGCCTGAAGATACCATAGGCGCGGTGCCTCGGCCAAACCATAGGCCGATTTGAGTACCCTCATCAGTGCGTAGGGCTGGATCTTGACCGTCTTGGTGGTGGCAGGAAGTCCATCTTCTGGCCCTCTGATGTAGACCTCCCTTTCCGTTGCCTTCCCGGACAGAAACGCCGTGCTCACATCGAAGACGTAAACTTTCCACCTCCGGGACACCGCCAGCGTTTTCAGGATCCTCACAGCCGCCGGTGTTGTAGTTGGGCTGTCTGTCCTGAACTCACCCAGACCTGGGTCCAAATGACCCGGGATTACGATCCTCGACTTCGCCACGAGCTTCGCCATCATGCCCACCTCCTTGGCCTTGTTGGTTCTGACCCACCGCAATGGTGCTCTGAAGATGAGCTGCTTTGGCACCAAACGTGCCTTGTCCGGCGGAACCAGCTCCACCACCTTGTTGTCGATCCATGATTGCCATTCGGCTCGATCTGACTCCCCGAAGCTTGCCTTCTCCTTCTCATCGAAGAACTTCGGGTCCAGCTCCTTCCCGTTGGCCTTCATGCGCAGAAGGAAGATCTCGCAGGCCCGCCGGGACCTTGCCTCCTCTCTGACAAAGCCCTCCCACATCCTTTGCTTGGCTTCCGGCCACTTGGCCTCGTAGACGTGGGGCCCCATGGCGACGTAGGCACCCTGCGGCTCCTTCTGCTTTCCCTTGCTTTCCAGGAAGAGAGTCAGTCCTCTCCATTCGAATGGCGATCTCCTCCTTGGGTGCTGCGCCACTTCCTGCGCTGTTTCATACACCAGCAGCGCCACGCCAGGCTCTCTTCCAAGGAGAACACTCACTCGGGACTTGGCTCCCTTCTTGTTTCCGGGCTTCTGCATCCTCTTCCTCGGACCTAGATGCAGCCTTGCCGATGACACCGGCAAGCCCAGAAGTTTGGTGAGGGATTTCACCTCCGCTCGGCTCAACCACTCATTGGCTCGCCTAGACGGCTGACCATCCGGGCATAGATCTTGCCCCGCCGCCGCAATCATCACAGCGGTGTAGAACTCGCCCTTAAACTTCTTGGTGACTTCCTCCGGGTCGAGCTCGCCCGCATCGGCCTCCCTCTTCCTCTTGATGCTGACCGGGACGTCATCCAGCAACCTTCTTCTCTTCTGCTGTGCCGCTTCCCAATCTTCCGAGGAATCAAACAACTCCCGCCAGAACTCCGCGTCTTCCTCATCATCCTTCTCTGGCGCCGGTCTCGGCACCGGCTGAGGCTGAGAGCTTGGACCGGCTTCACCACTCCGGGGAAACTCCTCCGCCCGTGATGGATCTGCCGGCCTTCTGCTCCCTCTTTTTCGCACTGCCTTTCTGACACGAACTGGCGTCTTCATCAACTTTCTAACTGTCCTCATGCCTCTCATCATTCTTCTGGCATCCTCCTCAGGTCT